CCCCCCCCTTTTTTTTTTATAAAGAAAATTTTAAAGTAAAATGTTTCTAAGCCATAGAAGGAGAAAAGGCGAGGTTGCTGCGTGCGGGTTTCTCCCCCAGCGATTTCATCCTTTGATGCTAACGTGAGCTTCTACGATGGGAAATCCCTCAATCCTGCTTGCAGCCCAGGGGGGATTTTTGATGCAAAAAGGTGTTTTTTCCTGCAGTTCACATCCTGTGTCTGACAGGGAAATGCTCCAGCAAGGAGCTTGGGAAGGAGACGGATTGGTCTGTGATCCCCAGATACCTCTTGCAGGGGGCTAAGCCTGTGATTGCTGGTTTTTGAGGTTGGAGGGAAGCAGGAAGGTCTCATCCAGTCTTGGGATGGGTTTTGCAGGTGTGTCTGGTCTGGCAAATGAGCCTTTAAAAGATGGAAGAAAACCTGGAGGGGTGGGAAAGGCTGTGTTCTCATCCAAAAGAACCAAAGAACGGTTTGGTGGTGGGTTGGTTTCAGTGTCCTCTGCCCAAGCCAGAGCTGGTGAGGAGGGATGAGACCTCAAGGTCACGCTGGTCCCCTCCCCGTGCAGCTTCACAGCCCTAAAGCAGCTCCTGGAGAGAGCCCGAGCTAGCAGCGATTTTTAGGGAGCGACCCTTTGATGTCCTTTCTGCAATTCCCCTTTTGGCAGCAAACCTTCGAGGCCCACCCGGACGCGGAGGCCAGCGTCACGCACATGATCAAGGCGGGCAGCGGGGTCTGGATGGCCTTTTCCTCGGGCTCCTCCATCCGCCTCTTCCACACCGAGACACTGGAGCATCTGCAGGAGATCAACATTGCCACCAGGACCACCTTTGTCCTCCCAGGTGAGCTCCCCTTTTCCTCTGGCTCTTAATTGCAATTAATGGGCAAGCTGGGGCGTCACCCACGGGCATTTTGCTTTGCTGTATGGCTGTGCTGATTTGCAGAAACACTGTGTGAGGGATTTATCTGGTTAATGGTGTGAAGGTTTGAGCTTGGACCTCTGCGGTCTCTCCTCATTGACGGCAGGGACGGAGCTGGTGGCATCTTGGCACCCGTGAGCGCATCCGCGCGTCCCATCTTTGCGCCTGTGCTCCCATCCACACACCTTCTCCATACACCCCATCCTTGCAGACGTGCATGTATCCACTCACCCATCCTTGCACCCCATATTTTGGACTTGTGGGTTCCCTTGCGTGCATCCACACACCCCGTCTTTGCACTGCGTGTGCATCCTTCCACCCGTCTTCATCCCCATCGGCGCATCCCATCTTTTCACCTGTGCTCCCATGTGTGCACCTTCTCCTTGCACCCCATCCTCACGCATGTGTGCATCTGTGCACCCCATCCTTGCAGACCACCTGTGCATCCGTGAACCCCATTTTGCGCTGCACATGTGTCCTTGCACCCCATCCAGGCACCCATCTTCATCCCCGTGCGCGCGTCCTTGCATCCATGCACCCCATCTTCATCCCTGCGCATGCATCTTTGCACCCCATCCTTGCACCATGCATGCATCCATGCTCACACCCCGCTGCTGTTGCCCCGTGCACCCCTTTTTCCCCCACCTTTTCACCCAGCACCATCTCCCAGCCGTGTCCACCCACCCGGCTCTCACCCGCCCCGGGCTTGCAAGCTTGTCTCCTGCCTTGTTCCAGCTACCGAGTGACATAATTGCATAATTAGTTATAAGCACGATACTCATGTAAGTCGCTTTTTCTTTTTTTTTTTTCAGGGCATGTTAAAATATTTATCGCTTCCTTTTCTTTCTGGGCGAGCGAGCGTTGGGTATTAATGCGTTTTTGAACTCGCGCTCCCTCATCCTTTTTAACTCGACAGGTCATTAATAAAGTCCTCCCGGAGAAACCAGAGTTGCATCTCCACAGATATATTGCTTCGTCGAGTCTGACGCTGTGCAGCGCTAAGTCCTGGCGATAAAATATTCATTTTGCCATTAGAAGTCTCACTCTTCCCTTTTTTCCCCCCCTCCTCTTTTTATTTATTTATATTTGCAGCACTCTCCCTGGCACGGAGACCTTTGTGCAAAGATGCTGCTCGGTTTTGTGAGGGGCTCTGGAGTGTGTTTCCCACGACAAATCCACCAGTGATGGGTTATCTGGGAAGACGCTGCTGTAAAATCATCCCTTGTCCTCTTTTTTTTTCCCCCCCTCCCTCTTACAGGTCAAAAACACGTCCGTGTCACCAGCCTCCTCATCTGCCAAGGTTCGCTCTGGGTGGGCACCGACCAGGGCATCATTGTGCTGCTGCCTGTGCCCCGCTTGGAGGGCATCCCCAAAATCACTGGTGAGCACCCAAAAAAACCCTGCCTAGGTTGAGGCAACCTTGGCTTTGGGCTCACTTTTTAGCAAAACCCCTCTTTTTTTGGCAGGAAAAGGCATGGTGTCCCTCAACGGGCACGGCGGCCCCGTGGAGTTTTTGGCGGTGGCGTTGAGCACCCTGGCACCCGACGTGCTCAAGGGTGACCAGGAGGAGGAAGAAGAGGTTGAAGAAGAGAAACCTCATGAGCTGGACGGCCCCCCGCCTCGGGAAATGAGAAAAAAAGGGATTTTATTACAATATCGCCTCCGGTCCACTTCCCACCTCCCCGGGCACCTGCTGTCGGTGCGGGAAGCGCCGGCGAGCGGCACGCCGGCACACACCGAGGAGGACGGCTCCATCTACGAGATGGCCGACGACCCCGACGTCTGGGTGCGGAGCCGT